AACAGAAAATACAATAAAGTGTATATTAACAAACATTTAGGATGGTTTCATGCAGTTGCATAAAGAAATGGACCGTAGTACAACCTAAATCCTCTAGAGGGAGCTCTAACCCTATAAATGAACTTGCATAATTACCACAAATTTCCACACAGCGAAAAATGCCAAAAACAGGCAATCTATGCATTAAATATAATATTTGGGGTTATTTGCAAAGCAATAAATTAAAGTAACACAGTAAATGACTATATATGAGGGAATGCAGAGCGATTTGGATAAGAAAACTTATAGTAGTATTGAGTTACACGATTAACAATCTCCCATCTGAGCTAATAACTCTGTATTGAACATAATTTATGCAAAACACCGTACTTACATCTCAAGGACGCACACAGCGCTCTTACACACAATATTAGCGAAGGATTAACAAAGGATGTCAGTTTTCTGCTCTGAGGATGCTGCTTCTCATAACTAGACCGCACCGAAAGTGAAAGCGGCTCGCGCAACCGCGAGCGATCGGAACTACAATGAACGCATGCATTATGGGTAACGTAGTCTACGTAAGGGCACGGACTTTTAACAGCCGCCCCTGTATTTGCCTAGCAAATACACTCATTCAAAAGTAAACTAGTTTAAGAAGTGTCATTTGAATCCTCGGGCATTTCAGGGAGTTCCACCAGTTTGGTTACCGGGCGAATGTAGATACTGTCTTTAACCTTCACCTCTGCCGCTCGAACAACACCATCTGTCCCTGGGAAAACCTTGGTGATGGTACCAACAGGCCAAAGTCCTCTGGGAAGGTTGGAATCAACGATCATCACAATTTGTCCCACAGTAGCATTATCAGTAGTTTTCCTCCATTTATGTCTCAACTGAAGCCCAGGGAGGTAATTCTGGATGAAGCGTTTCCAGAAATGATCACTGATCACCTGACTGTGTTTCCATCTTCTGTTGGAAAGGACATCATGAGGGCCGTATACTGCCTGTGGTAATGATGCGTCGCGCCGCCCCATTAGCAGCAGGTTAGGCGTGATGGGGTCCGGGTCAGCTACATCAGAGGAAGCATATCCAAGTGGTTTAGAATTAAGGAGCCCTTCAACCTCTATGAGAGCGGTCAGGAGCACTTCCTCTGCTACTACTTGGTCTTTCAGGACACCTTGCAGGGCTGACTTGACAGATCGGATTTCCCTCTCCCAAGCTCCCCCGAAATGAGGAGAGTATGGAGGGTTGAAGTGGAAGTTGATAGTCTGATTAGCCAGTTGCTGCTGCAACTTTGGTGCCATGCTCTCAAAGGCGACCTGTAGTTCTTTATGGCCACCCCTGAAATTGGTTCCCCGGTCGGACCACAGCTCGTACGGCTTTCCCCGGCGTGCAATAAACCTGCGTAATGACATTAAGAAAGAGTCAGTATCAAGGCTAGGGATGAGATCTAAGTGGACACATCTGGTGGTGAGGCATTTGTAGATGATTCCCCAGCGCTTCTCTCTCCTACGCCCAATCTTAATCAAGAATGGTCCGAAACAGTCTACGCCTGTAGACCAGAAGGGTGGTTTGTAGAGTCTCAATCGAGATAAGGGAAGGTCAGCCATTTTTGGTGTGGAGGGTGAGGCTCGCCATCTCCTGCAGTCCACACACCGATACTGATGTTTTTTAATGGCCTGGCGACCTCTGAGGATCCAGTAAGTGCGGCGTAACTCTGCATAGAGTCTCTCTACACCAGGGTGGAACAGCTGAACATCATAATGCTTTATGATGAGCTGAGTCAGAGGGTGATCAGGTGATAATACAACTGGGTGGATGCTGTCAGGATCTACATCTGTCGCTTGACGCAGGCGGCCGCCCACTCTGACTAGTCCACTGGGGCTGTCATACTCAGGGGAAAGGGCGCTGAGACGACTGCTCGGGCGAACAGGGTTACCTGCTTGTAAGGCTTGGACCTCCTCTGGGAAACTGTCCTTCTGTGCAGATTGAAGCAGCTGGGTCTCTGCCTCCAGGCGTCCACTTGCAGTGTAGGGGGTAGCCGCCCCCTGCAGGGATTGGTGAGTGGCCAGAATCAAATCATCTAAAGATGTGTACTGTGCTGGATCTGGCAGGCTT